CCCCTGTGGTAGGTTTGCAATTATTTGGCTAATTACTGGATCATTTATTGTATAGGAGAATGTTGACAGTAGGTCTATAACTCATGTTTTCCTCTTTGGGAACACCTCTGGCTGATTTTCTTTTAACCCCAACCATACCTCCTTGCAAAGACTGACTACTGAAATTTGCCTACCTTTCAATCACTGATCTAGGAAAGCTTTTAGCAGAATGTACTTTATTTGTCTGGCCTGTTGTAAGCATATCTGTAATTCAAAGATTTATGAGGTGTGCTTGTGCTATTTATTGAATACAAGTTAATCATATTCCTAGAACTGAACTGTGAAATGATGTATAAACCAAAAGACCATAGCACTCAGAGGCCTGCCTATGCTAACTCTAGCCATGCAATGTGAGGACTATTCAATCCAGAACCAAAACACTTTATAGTATCACAAACAGGGTTATAATTGATGGATTTAAGTTTGCCAGACAGTGTTGTGGCATGTGCTGTTGAAGTTCCTTTCTTAAGAGTGTTGCTTATCATTTGTAATGTGTGATGCTGATAATGTTTATATTTTGTATGAATCTTACTGAAAACTCAGCGTTTCTTTATTATAAAGTGGACTATCTCAATTTCCTTTTCATTGCCTCATGAGCTCCATAAAAGCAGGACTGTTCTGATCTCACAGTTATTTTCTTATTTTTCTGGCCCAGCCTTTAGCACATAGTAGATGTTTAATATCTCTGTGTTCGAGATAACTATCTCACTCAGTTCTTCCTTCTTTCTTGCACACATGGGGAAACTATCCAGTATTCCCTGCAATTAAATTGGAGCCCTGATGTTGGATGTGAGGTGTCCCCCAAAAGCTCATGTGTGACACAATGCAAGAAGGTTTAGAGGAGAAATGATTGTGTTATGAAAGCCTTAGCCCAATCAGTGAATTAATCAATTACCACTAAATTAATCCCAGTGATGGGATTAATTGAGTGGTAATTGAAAGTAGGTGGGGTGTGTCTGGAGTAAGTGGTGCTTTGGGGGTGCTGCTTGGAGTAAATATTTGTATTTGGCAAGTGGAGATTTCTCTCTCTGCTTCCTGATTATCATGTGAGCTGCTTCCTTCTGCTACATTCTTTCCCCATGGTGTCCTGCCTCACCTTGAGCCCTGAGGAAAGGAGCCTGCTGTCTATGGACTGAGACCTCTGAAACTGTGAGCCCCCAAATAAACTTTTCCTCCTCTATAGTTGTTCTGGTCAGGTCTTTTAGTCGCAGACACCAAAAACCTGACTAAATTTGTGCTTAATTTTGACTAGTCAATTTTGAGAGGAAATTAACATTCTTAACTTCAGGGTACAGGCATTTAAGATTAAATGTAAAATTTCAACATTATTTTTCCACACCCACTTCTTAGCAAATACTGAAACTTGGATTGAGATAGCTACATAGAATGATGGCAGACCTTCTGTCATTTCTGGATTCCTGCTTGATATGTAGAGCACAATCTTTCTCCTATCCACGTTGAGAAGATAGTCCAAAGTAGAAACACTAATGGATTTGTGAGCCTCTTGCTATTTTTGAGATTCAATTGTTACGTAGTCTAACAGCCTGTGCTATCTAATACATGAATGGGTATTGGGCAGCAAAACTATGTATAGAAACCTTTCAGAGAACACACACCTTCTTCTTTTCTTTCCCTGATTCTTCCACTCTTTTTGTTTCTTCTCAAAATACAAATTAGTAAATGAGTAGAAGAGAGGCAGACATGGTATAAGGAAAATGGAGTCAGTTAGCCCCCCTCACCTGGATGGAGGGGAGGGAATGTCTAAAATATTTTCTGTAGATCAAGAAAAACAGCACATGCACAATCTTAAGTAAACTGTGATATCATGCTTGGCATGCTGCCAGCTTTGTTTTAATTTACTATATAAATTGACCCAGAATTTTTTCTGCACAGATTGCCCACCCCTCAAATAAAAGCATGTCAGATGTCCTTATGGGCCTGCATATCTTCTTCTGGCTGCCCGAATCTCAGGTCAACCTGTCTGGAATAAAGCAGTTGCACTACATGTGGTATATTAACTGGCAGTACAGAAACAGCTGACTCAACATTAGCTAAATTGACTCAATGAGGTAAACTCATATCATAATTTATTGAGCAGAGCATCTTATGTTCCAGGCCCTCTGATGGGTATTTGAGTTTCAGTCAGGAAGAATGGCTGGTTCTTGCTCACATATCCAACTGAGAGTAGTAGAAAAAGGACTATTAACAAAGAAATATGGCAGAAAGAAGCATCACTTCTGACTCATAAAAGAGGCTTAAAAAATAACTTCACAGATGGGATGTCATTCAAACTAGATTTTTGAATGTATGAAGAACTCCATCAAACACAAGAGAGAAAAGGGACCATTTTGGACAATTTCCAATGGCAGGAATGTTCATGGTGCCTTTGGATAGAGAGTTTAATAGATTTGGATTGGTGACTGGGTTGAGGATTGGGAAGAGAGCGTAGGAGGTCAAATTTCCTTTTCCCATTTCCCAACTCCAATTCTTGTCATCACTTTTATACATTTTCATTCAGCATGAAAGAAAACTACAAGGTTTTCAAATGGTTTCTGATAACATCACGATAGCTGTGCATGGAAATTGTTGACAGGATAAAAACATTTATCGAAGAATAAAAGGAAGGAAAAAAGAACCAACCAACTCTACCACCTATCTTATATTCAGAGTGTTCTCTTTTTTTTCTAACTTTTTAGTCCAGTGATTCACACGGGGACTCTGCACCGCTCTTTTCTCAACCGTATACCTGTTTAGCTAGCCTCTCCCATGTTTCCATTCCAAGCTCTCTCTTCTATCCACATCTTTGTTCTTTTGGTGTTGATGTTCTTCTTTGTGTTCAACCACATCTTATTTTGTAATTCTTAAAAATTTGGTGTGCATCATCATCATCTCAACAATTTAGTAAAAATGATCATTCTAAGGCCTCTACCCAAGAATTCAGTTTCTTTAGATTTGTGTGAGGCCTAGATATTAGCATTTTAAATAGCACTTCATATGTTCTGGTTTATGTAATTCTTAGACCACACTTTGATAACCACTGATGTATATAGTGGCTGTAAAAGATTTAAAAATATGGGCCTTTGTTCATCTATATCAATGGTTCTCCATCTCTGGGTATATATCTGAACTATGTGGGAAATTTTGAAAAGCATTATACATAGCCCATACCATAGAACACTTGTGTCTGATTAGCTGGATAGAGAAGAATATATATAAATTTGTATTCTACATGTTATGGCACACTCCTTACATTAATGCTTAGAAGGCCTCCTACTTACTGTGGCCTTTGCAAGACATTGATAAGCAGGCTCTATTTAGCCCATAATTCCTCAACTGAGAACCTTGATGTAGAGAATTCTAGAGTAAGTACAAATTTCTTAAAATTTAAAACATGATGGGCAGAGCTTCTTGGTAAGATATTTATGGAATGCATTTGGCTTCCTCTGCTTTTCATTTCAACCCTTTCCCTTCTCATGCCAAGCTGCCATTGCAATAATCAGGCAGGTAAGAACTGAAGACTGAGCCTTTGACTCTCAGAACTCTGACAGGTGGAACTGCTGCAAGATTAACTGCACTCCGAGGATTGGAAAAAAGGCAGCAACCAGAGGAAGAGAATCCGTGATGAATAGCCAAATGCTGTGGATCTTTCAAGTGATTCTGCTTTGGCAGGGTAGTGGTGGTGGTGATAGGAGGAGGACTTAATGAGAGTAAAAGTAAAAAGGTCAAGAAGCCCACCTGAGTGTGCTTTTTTATTTTTATGTTTTTAACTTATTCCTGAGTGAAGAAATAACTGGAAAGTAGGTTGAGTTTTCTATCCCAGAGGATCAGAGGTATTTGGGCACGAGGGAACAGAAAGACTTTCTGCCACTAGGGAGGACAAAGTGGCAGCTGCTACACTGTCAGGCCACATCATCAGAGGCCACCCTTCATGGAACTGCTGCCCTTTAGTGTTCCTCAATAGTGAATTTTAGCTGAAATGAGAGGAAGCCAGAAAACTGCAGCTCAAATAAAGGAGTCAACAAAAAGGGAGAGAAAGAACTTATAGGACCATGAAACAAGGCTCTTGACATGGCACATATGCTAAACATTTGAATACATAAATGATAAATAGTATTTAATAATGTTCAAGCATAGCTTGAAATGACTTTATGGAATAACATAACATCACTGATATGATTTGGATATGAGGTATCCTCCAAAAATTTCTGTGATAATGCATGAATGATGAAATCATTAGATTATGAAGGCTCTCACCCAACCAGTCCATCCTAGTTTGAATGGACTGAATGGTAACTGTAGGCAGGTGGGGTATGACTAGAGGAGGTGGGTCACTGGAAACATGCAGGATTCGCCTTCTCTGCAGCCCCTTCCCCTTCCTTTCTCTGCTTCCTAGCCATCATGAATGCAGTAGAGCTCCTTTCCCATGCTCTTCCACCATGATGTCCTACCCCACCTTGGACCCAGAGCAATGGACTTCACTGACCATGGACTGAACCTCTGAAACTGTGAACCAAAACACACTTTTCTTTCTTTAAGTTGTTCTTTATCACAAAAATGCAAAGCTGACTAACAACCATCTTCCAAGTTTGTTGTTTACTGAATTAGTAACATAGGAAAAAAAAATACGGAGGAAAATCACAAATAAAAATGTGCAAGAATGGAAAATTAGAGAAAATAATTAAATAACATTAAAGAGAGATTCGAGACTTCCAGAAAGGTGGGTGGGGTGGGGAAGATTAGGTTAAGATATTAATTAAATAAATAAAAGAGAAAAACTTCCCTGAATTTAAGAAAGCCCAATAAACTGATATTTAAAGTTCTAATCAGGGTTTATAAGGAACACACACGTAAGAAGGTAAAAATCCCAAATTTCAGACATAAGTATAAAATATTTAAAGTTTTGTGTAGAAACTTTAATTATTTTAAAGTTTTTTTTTGTTTTTTTTTTCCTTTTTGTATAGCCTCTTCCTTGCTCTCTGCCTTCCATCAGCATGAGGTGAACAGATCTCCTCTACCAGATGCTCTCACCATGATGTGCTGCCTCATCAGACACCTAAAGCAATAGAGCCAGCCGACCATGGACTGAAAACTCTGGCAACATGAGCCAAAATCAGTTTGTTGTTCTTATAAGTTGATTTCTCAGGTATTTTCTGACAGAAACCTCACTAACACTTGGGGAGCTTTAGAATTATTGATGCGAGGCTTCACTGTAGATGAATTAAATTAGAGTCTTCTGGGTGTCGGAACAATAATTGGGGTTTTTAAACTACCTAATCATTTCTAATTTCTAACATTGTACTTTCACCTATAGACTCCTGGGAGGAAAAGGAAGGTAACTCTCAAATCCTGTGTTATTTATTTACACATTTTAAGAAAATATGTCACTATTTAATCTGAGGAAATGGAAAAGTTATTTCTCTGGAGATCAGATAAATTAGAATTATCAAGATGGTGAAAAACTAAAAAACTAAAAAAGATAGAGGAAACAGGTAAGCAAGGAGCCATACAGCATCCGGTTACGTATGACTGGATGATAACAGAAATTGGAAATGAAATCCAGACCTAAATAAAGGTTCTGAAAATAGAGGAGATGAATTGTGTGAGGAAATTCAAATATTAATTTGGAATTGAAAAGGTGAAATTTTTTCATTAAAATTTAAAAGTTGAATTTGGTTTGTAGGGAGAAAGAAGAAGAGTATTCCTTAGAATTCTCCTAGGGATAAAGAAAAGAAGTAGAAGAAAGGGGGGAGCAGAGACACTTACAGTATTCTAAAGTTTCATATCCTAGGAGGGACGTCACTAGGGAAAAGAGAATTTTGATGGAGAACACTGTCATCTTATTTTCATATAGAGGTAGGTGTTTTTGTTGTTGTTGTTGTTGTTTTCTTTTTAAATAAGCATCAAGGAAGGTGTCTTAGTCAGTTTTTTTGTTGCTGGGAGCAAAGACCTGACAAGAATGATTGTAGAGAAGGACAAGTTGACTTGGGGGGTCATGGTTTCAAAGGTCTCAATCCATAGATAGCCAACCCCTTTCCTCAGAGCCTGGGATGAGCAGAATATCATTGCAGAAGAGTGTGGTGAAGGAAAGCAGCAGGGAACACGGCATTAGAATGGAGAGAGGGAGAGGAAAGAGATTGAGACGGAAAGAGATAGAGGGCACTATCCCCTCACCAGACAAAATATATACCCCTAAGTCACTCCCAATTATCTACCTCCTCCAGGCACACCCTACCTGCCTTCGGTTACCACCCAGTTAATTCCTACCAGGGGATTAATTCACCAATTGGATTAATGCTCCCCTAACACAACTATTTCACTTCTAAATCTTGCATTATCTTGCACACACGTGAGCTTTTGGGGGACATCTCACATCTAAATCATGACAAAAGAAAAGGTGATCATGATAGGCATGGGAAATAAGATGTAACTGCTAATATAGGAAATAAAATGCAATTTGTCCCAAAGAGCAAAATAAATCAAAGGACATTTGCAGTCCTTTAATTTGCTTTCTAGCTTCTTAGAACACATAATACATCTAAAAGGTTATCTTTCTACCTGAGCATGAGGTAGTCTATTGATAATGTATTTCTAGATATTTTTCTTCTTACACACTAGCCGCCTCATTGCTCAGTGTCAGAGAACATATCATTCTCCCTGTGTGGTGACATCTCAGTCCTCATAGAGTAAAAATTCCCTTGCCTTTTCTGATTTGTGTTTACATCAGAATGGTAGGGCAAGTTCTTGTACACATCTCATATGCTGTGGCAGAAAAGCCCCAGGGGCAAAGGTGAGCAACTTAATAATAGTGCAGCTGAGGAGAAATTTATAAAGTTACACTTCCTGGAATTCAGTCATCTAGAAACCACTGGAATAAAACATTGAGTTGAGGGATTTTGATGTGACAAACAAGAGATATCTGATAACAGTCCACATGATTTACACCTTTATTACCTGTTCATGACTTCCATTAAGTGCAGACTGAGTCTTCAAGTTGGTGCTGCTGTAATCTCTATAAAAGAATTAACTTGAAAGAGTTAGTTAAATAGCTACAGATCTTTCTACTGCACCTAGTCCCAATGTTACAATTATATCCATTATATCCCTGTATTGTACTTTCAAGTACTTTAACAGGTCCAGGTTCTTTGCCTGGAGCGTGGCCAGACTGATACTGCTAAAAGTTGAAGCCTTCAGCTGCTTTATTCTTCTTGAGTGATAGATGTCATAACCAGCCATTTATAGTTATCATTACTCATGGAAACATAAAGTAACTTAAAGGAAGCTTTCTAGATTTGTAGATGTCCTAAATTGTATCCCTATTGTATATCTGGAAACTCCTTAGTATTTCAGAGTGGTAACTTTTATTTTCAGCCTGGCTATTCACCAGTGTAGGTTTAGGTTCAATGCAGTACTTAGTCTCTTCCCTGGTAGAAGCATCTTCCATGGGTACAAGGATTTCTACCCCATAAGCCCAATATTTCAGAGATGGGAAGCAAAATGTCTGCAAGTGCTGCACTGGCAATGATGCTGAGAAGGGTCAGTCCTTCTTGCACCCCTTGTTTCCTGGGCCCATGTACCTCACTGTTAGACACACAGTGTCAGGCACTGGTATCAAGCCAGTGCATACATCCCGTGCTAGAAGACATCTTCCCTCTGGGTCTCAACTTTGCTGCTGATGGCTTATTGGATATTTAGTAAGCTTTTCATCCCTTAAATAGGCATATGCCACTGGATGATGCCACAAGTAGGAGGACCTTTGGTCATGTGACCAGTGTTTCGACTTTATCATGACATGTGTCTCTTGGAGTGAGGCAATGTAATGTGGTATCTCAAACTAATAAATTAAGCATTTTGTAAGCCCCACGTGTTGGTGCTGTTAGAGCCACTAGAAGTGGGAAGGAAAAGCTATCTCCAGAACAGGTGCCTCTTCATTAAGGATGAATTACTGTCCCCTCTAGGAATGCCATAGTTCAATAATACTTCATACTTGGTGTCAAAATAAACTTTTGTGACAGACCTCTAAATTCCCATAAATAAGTTTAGTACATAGTAACTAAATCATCATCAAAGTTTCTGAACATCATCAACGACATGGCCATAAGAGACTGATTACTGGGGCATTTCCATGCAGTTCAGTGTTGAATACATTCATCATAGAGCAATTTGACAGTTGCAAAAATAGCAGAATCAAGTTCTGCAAATCCAGTTGATGTTTGTATGTTCCTTTTTGCTACTCGAGCGCCACAATCTCATCAGAGACATTAAATGAGGGAAGCAATAATTGCTTCATTAACTGCAGCTGCTGATGTTGAGTCACCTACAATTATATAATTATATACATACACACATATCCACTTTTACTGGATAAATGTTTACTTAATATTTATTTGATCAAACTTTATTAAGAGTTCACTGTGTGGAAACAGACACAGGCTCATGTGCAGGCATGGCAATGTATCAGAGAGATAGAATCCTAGTCTCTAGAAGAGAAGATCTAATCATGAAAGAAAGAGCTTAATGCATGGATTGGATGGTGGCTTGTCTTGTAGATCATTTTGTCCTATAGGTGGGTGCAGTGCTTAAAAATAACTCAGTCTGCAAGTAGAAGAATAACCTTGACCTTGATGAAAAACTCATTGCTCTGCAAACTCTGTTGCTACCCAAAGCAACATATATCTTTCAAAGATTTCTCAAATGAGAATATATATTCATCCATATTGACAATAAAATAGGCACAAAAATATGGAAGAGGATAAGAGAAGGCTGTTGGATGTTGGACCACCTAGACTAGTCTTCTAATTTTCTTATTTTCCATTTAATTTTCTTCTTGTAGTTTCCAAGAACATTTCCTGAATTTTATGTGCCTACCATTCACCTTCTGTTGACTTTTCATTTCTATTGGCATATATTTTTAGTTCCCAAGAATTCTTATTTGTCTATTTCATTTATATTAAAACAATTTAAGCAATATCTTCTCTTATCTCTGCATATATTAATGATATCAATGTTTCTTTATCCCGAATAATCTCTATTTCTTCTAGTTGGAGTTTTCTACCTTTTTGATTGTATATATCACTATAATCCATATTAAAGTTATGTCTCTCAAACATCAGTTAAAATTTGGCATTCTTCTTACAAATAAAAGTAGGAGACAGCTGTGTGTGGTGGCACATGGCTGTAATCCTAGCAACTCAGGAGGATCACAAGTTCAAAACCAGCCTCAGGAATTTAGCAAGGCCCTAAGCAACTTAAAGAGACCATCTCTCTAAATTAAAAATAAAAAAGGGCTGTGATTGTGTCTTTGTGGTTAAGTACCCTGGTTCACTCCCCAGTATTAAAAAAAAGTAGTAAACAAAAAATTGATTACAATCTCTGTGAAATTTGGTTTCTCTCAAGGTTTTTTTGAGTGAGTCATTCTTGAGGAACCCCTAAGGTTAACATCTTCAGACAGTGGGATTGCTTGGAATTGTGAGTTCCAGAATTGTGGATTCCCTGAAGGAGAGGGGATGGTTGTGCATTCAGTATTTGGAATGTCAGTGGTCACCTAATCTTCTAATTTCAGTAATCTCCAAAATTATCCCAAATCCCCAATACAGGGACATTTTTCACCTGTGCCAGAGACCAAACCTCCAGACTTTGGGGGCTGAAGGACAATTACCCAGATGCATGTTGTAAGAAAGGGATCCAGCTTCTTTGTGTTCACTATCCCAAGAGCCTTTACTTACTTTCACCCTTGTTGGTACCCCTATATTTTTTAAAATACAAATTGTGCTGCATTGTTGCTTTCCCTATTGCCAACTTTAATTTTGGCCTTCTTGGGTTTTCAAAACCAGTTAAATTTGTGTGAATTAGGATGACACAAGTCCCACTTGGAGAATGCAGAATAAAGAGCTGGGTTTTATCTCCCAGTGGACTTCATCCCAGTTTCTGTCATATGCATTGACCATGGGCACCACAGCCTCATCTGCTCTTTATCACATTCTTGTGATTTTTTGCATTTTTTATGACATCTCTTTGTGATAACTTACATGTGTCCCTCCACCCCTGATGGAAGCTATATTATACATATTTATTTGATCTGCCATCATAAGTCAGAAATGATATTTAGAAAAGTTTAAAAGCCAGATAAATGCAATATTCTAAAATCATTTTCACAACAGATCTGCTTAGAAATTTGTACTCTATTTCTGGGACTAAATGGAATTATCTGGTCATAATTCTTAAGACATATCATGTAGCAACTGAGATCAAAATATTGCTGCATAAGTAACCCTGAAGAGCATGCCATTTGCAGACAGCAAATTCGAAACCACATACTTGGTTTGAATTGGATAATATTCAAGCTTAGATGTCAGTGAGGATAAGTTTGATATTTAAAACTAATTAAGGAGTTGTGCAAATTTCACATAAATATATTACTCAGCACATCCTGCAAAGTTCAGTAATTGTAGAACATTATTCATCTCACTTAGTGACCTCTCATTCCGGGGTGAAAACAGAGATTTCTTTATTTTCAATGATGGAAGCCAGGAACTATTTCATCTTAAGCTAAGTGTTTTTACACTCTAGATTTTCTAATGGGTTGGAAATTAGTAAATCACATGGCACTCTACATTTTCTTTTTGCTAGGGAGGTATAGGTAGGAATACATAATATAACTTGATTCTGTAGTAATCAGAGGGTCGAAATATTTGCTAGACAGAAGAGCTTTATAAAACACATTTCTTTCCTCTCTTTTTTCCTGAGGATTAGAAGTGCTTTGGGGACCAATCCCCCTACCCACAGCTTCTATGTGACATTACCTATTCCTGACTCTACAGTGGTCAGATCCCTCACACACACACACACAGAAAGTTGACTTCCTGCTAGAGTAGCCGATCTACTCTACAAAAAAAATTTGTTTTTGTTTTTGTTACTAGGGATTGATTGGGCATCTGCATTGTTTCTTTATAATGAATATGAAATCTTTTGACACCACAATTCAGGGAAAACTTGCTCATCTGTGTTCCATGATCTCTATAGGTCTTACCTAAGTGCAATATCCCTAGCCAAATAAAATTTATCAAAGTATGACTTAGATTTGCATCACTTTCTTCTTAAAGCCTTCTGCAGTTTCTTGTCACCTATCCATTAAGCTCTTTTTCCATTAACTTAGCTTCTGTAGCTCTCAGGATTTGCCTTTAGTATACCTTTACCATTTATAATCTATATTTCCACCAAGTCATATAGCTTACTATTCTCTAAACATGTTGTAAAATTCCATTGATTTGTATTTACTAAGCTTGTCATGTGGAGATTCCTTCTCTCCCCTTCCCATTTATAGCCAATAAGTATTATTCAGCAATTAAGTCCTCAATAAAAGGCCACTAACTTGAACCTGTTCTTTTTCGTTACAAATTTCACATTACATTTGACCTCTGTGATATATACTGTTTAAATTTCCCATATTCATTTGTTGCCTTAGGCAAATACTTTCTTTTAAAACTATCTTTGGTCCTGAGTCAGGAGCCTGGCAAATAGTAGATATAAGATTAAAGTAGATGTAAGTATAAAGTAAAGAATAATTCTTTCTGAAATGAGTGACATACTGAGTGAGCCTTTCTTTTTTGGCAGGAAAATTTGTTTTTGTTTTTGTTACTAGGGATTGAGTCCAGGGATGTTTTACTACTGAGCTATATCTCCAGCCCTTTTATTTTTTGTTTTGAGACAGGGTCTCACTAAGTTACTTAGGGCCTTGCTAATGGCTGGTCTCAATCTTGGGATCCTCCTGTCTTAGCCTGTAATGGATTCTTATGGACAGAGTAAATATTTGTTTGATGAAGAAAACTTGGTTTCTTTTACAGTGTAAAGGTTTAGGTGGGCATCTGCATTGTTTCTTTATAATGAATATGAGATCTTTTGTTGTTTATTGGTTGGCCTTTCTTGGTACCCCAATTGTCCTGTCCATTGCAAATGAAAGGCCAATTTTTGTGAGTATTCCATGTGCAATAAAATAATATAGAATCTCTCTTCGTTGGAAACAAGTCTACTGAGCAAATATTTTAGAAAGAATTCTTTTTTATTTTTTGGTTCTGGGGATCAAACCTGCCGCGTCCGGCCAAGGGAGCCGAGTCCGGCGAGGGACGGCGAGGTTAAAAGACACACAGGACACCAAGGTTCTTCATCCAGGAGTCAATAATCTTTATTGCTAACACACCTTTTTTTATACCCCAAGCAGCAGAAGTGGAAAACTACCCAAAAGCAGGAGGGAGGGGGGAGAAATTTAGTTTCAACATCTATTATTGTCAGGTACCGAAACCTCCCTTAACAATAAGTCCATCAGACCAGAAAAGGTCAAGGCATTCCCGTGGGATACATATGTCTCAGACGGATAAGCAGGAACAGAAAAACCGCAAGTTCGCCATGGCCTTGTGAGCTGGCCACACTGGCATGCAGAACAAACTAGTGGAGGTAGGGCTGCAGGGGCCAAGGTGGACCTGTTGCCAACAAAACCCAAGGCCTTGTGCATGCACTGTACCACTGAGCTACATCCCTAGCCCTTCCAAAAATATTTTATTGAAGAGGTACTATGTGCATGGCAGTATTTGGGGTAAGAAGTGTGGTGTCATTTATACCTTCTTGGAATCTACTTTCTAGCTGGGAGTTAGGCAAACCAATAAGCAAACAAACAGATAATGTTACATCAGGTTACATGCTAAAAAGAATTGTAAAGAAGAATTACAGAAGGTGTTCAGTGAAGGCTTTTCTGAAGAGATAGTAAAGAATAAGTCTGAATTCAATGAGAGCAAATTATGTGATAATGTGGGCCGATATTATCACGTAATATCCATGCAGTGTGAACAACCAGAACAATGACAAACGGGTATGAGTAAGCTTGGAATATAAGGCTGGAAGTGATTAATCAAGATGGAGATAAGAGTAGTCAGAGACAGAAATGTGAGATCAGGGAGCGCTTGGAAACAAATTTGGATTTTACTTTGAATGAGATGGAAGCCAATATGTATGTGGTGTGGTGTAATTACAGGAACAGCGTGGTAGAAAATAAGCTGGAAGGTTATTTCCGTCCTCTAGATGAAATATAATGAGGTCTTGGGTTAGAGAGAAGACATTGAAGGTGATCAGAAGTTTCCAAATTCAAGAGGCATCTACAAGGTAGGGATAAGCAGACTCACTCTGCCTGGTTATGTGTATGAAGGACCTAGAAAACTGAAATATGACTCAGAGATTTTGGACTGGAACAGCTTAGGAAATGGAGTTACCAATTAATAAACTAGAGAAAACTGGGGAAAGAGACAGTTGCTGATGAAAAATCTGGTTATCAAAACTTTTTTTTTCAATAACTGATATAAAGATTTTTCACTTTGTCTTTGATATGGCAAGTTTAATAATGATGGATATGGATGTAGATCTGTTTTCATTTACCCTGCTCAGATTGTCCTGTCCATTGCAAATGAATACTTATTTTTCTTCAATTCTGAAAGTTTTTGTCATTATGTCTTATTTCTTAAAGATAGTCCTCCATTCTATTTTCTCTTTTAAAATTCCAGTTGAATATTTCAGGCTTCCTATTCTATTCTCATGGCTCCTAAACATTTTACATCCTTGACCTGCTTTCTGTGATTTCAACTACTTCATTTTTTGCTCTACAATTTTTTTCCAGTTAGACCTAATTAGCTGTTTTTTAGAAGTTCAATTATTTTTAAAAATCGCCTTGTTTTTCCTCCCACTTTGTATCTTTTTCATTATGCGTTTCAACTTTCCCCCTTATACTCTAATTTATTTAACTTAGTAATTAAAATTTTTTTAATATTCTTATATGATCTTCAGTTCTTTTAGTGCTAATCTTCCCATATTCCCACTTGACTCTGATTATAACAACTATTTTCTTCTACCCACTCCTTCTCATCCTCTTCCTTTCCCTTTTAATTTCTCCTTCCTCTCCTTTCTGTGCTCCATTCTTTCTCTTCCTCTTTGTGATTGTGAACTATCTTCAGTAGGAAAATTTTCCCTATGTTCTTGTCTTAAGCCATGGAATTATGACCACACAGCATTTTTTGCCAGGGCAAAAAAGAGGAGTGAAATTTCTGAATCCTAGAACTGATGTTTATGCTTTTCTTTCAACTTAAGCTTTATCATTCATATAAGCAATTCTACCAATGTATGTGGTACAGGCTTAGAGTCTTGATTTATCTAGTATGATTTTACCAATTCAACTATTGCATTGAGCAGAAGGAAAGATTTTCATTCCCTTTTGGACCCAAAGTCAAAGTTTTTCACAGAAGATACAATAAGGAGGAAATGCACTCACATAAGGGGAAAGGTACCCTCATACATTGCTGGTGACACTGAAAATTGATGAAACCACTCTGGAAAGCAGTACGGAGATTCCTTAGAAAACTTGGAATGGAACTACCATCTGACCCAGTTATCCCATGCCTTGGTATATACCCAAAGGACTAAAAATCAACATATACTGACAGAGCCATATCAATGTTTATAGCAGCTCAATTCACAATAGCTAAGCTGTGGAACCAAATCAGGTGCCCTTAGACATATGAATGGATAAAGAACATGTGGTAGGTATAGACAAACAATGGAATATCATTCAAATATAAAGAAAAACTAAATTATGTTTTTTTGCCAATAAATGAATGGAACTGGAGACTAAGTGAAATAAGCTAAGTGAAATAAGCTAATATCACAAAAAAACAAATGCCCAATATTCTTTCTGATATGTGGGTGCTGATGCACAATAGAGAAGTGAGGGAATAGAACATTGGATTAGACAAAGAGGAATGAAGGGAAGGGAGGTGGGATGGGAATAGGAAAGACAGAATCAATCAGACGTAACTTTCCTATGTTCATAGATGAATACACAACCAGTGAAACTCCACATCATGTACAAACCACAAAAATGGGAAGTTATACTCCATTTATGTATGATATGTCAAAATACATTCTATTGTCATGTGTATTTAAAATGAAAACTTTGTAAAAAGGATACAATGAGGTTTCTAGTACCACATCTCAGCTGAGTTTTTCATCTCACATTGATAGCATGACAACCCTAACCACAGCCTCTATAACCTTTGCCCCTTTATAACCTCTATAACCTTTGAAGGGATACAGCAGTACCAGGTTCTACCATCTCTTTCACTGCAGTTTCCAATATACCCGAGAACACAAGTGAATCTTTTACTCTCTTTTTTTCCCAGTTTAGATATTCATGTAATTTTTGTTGTTGTTGGGAATTTCTAGTTGCATTTCTATTATATCTTTAGTATAGAAGCAAACAAGGATTCATTCCCTGCCAGCTAAGTGCACTATTCTGCCAGAAATCAGGAATAGTTTTTTGAAGTACACACAGCAGACAGTACACTCAGAACACCTCCTCTTTTTTTTCTTTCTGAAACTTCTAGAGATCTCCTTTTTTTTGTACCTGATATATTTGAAAGTATAAGTTACTTCTAGAGTTCTTAAATCAGTCCTTCGACTGTCTTTGTTGGTTGTCCCATCCTAAGAGTGATAATGCTCCCTTAAGGAGGAAAGAAAACCCAAAATTAAGCTTGGCTTTACACCAAAGGTCTGTAGAAGAAATGAGGCCAGAGAAAAACTCTATTTTGCTGTTATTAGCCCCATTCAACACAGAATCAGAAAAGAAAGAAAGAAAAAGATTTTTCTAAAGCCAAGAGTGTTTCTCAAAAATAGAAATCTTTATTTATAATTCAGATAACAGTAGGTTGTTGGTTTATAAACTTCACCTTCTTGTCTTTTGTATAATTGCTGAAATTTTAAAGGGAACTAGGTTCAATTTCCTTAGTTTCAGAAATTCTGGAAATTAAATAACTTTAAGTAGTTGTACAAATTGGGATTTGATTCCCAGATTTGATTCCAAACCCTACTCAAGAAATACTATTTAAATCATTAAATAATTTTATCTTTATTATTTATTCTATACAACCACATGGAATCATTTTAATAGATAAGATTTTCAGTGTTTTTTTAAGGTATGAGAGTTAGGCTTTCTAATCCCATGAGTTCATAAATATTCTTTCCTTGGTTGGACAGAAGAGATGGAGGCTCACTTTCCCAGCCCCTCACTGTAGGTTAGGCACTGTATAAAGAATATTTTGTTTACTCTTAATTACCACTAAAAATTAGAAGTTACTATTACTCAATTTTGGCAAAAGTTAGAAAATGAGATGTAGAGAGATAAAGTACCCTTTCCATTGTCTAAAAATTAGTTAGCAGGTGAGCAGAGTTAGTACTTAGGCCTCATGTTAATTCAATGGTCTCATGAAGTATCTAAAACAAGAGAAATCCAAAATTCATTTATGAATTCTGACTACAGATTCCAAGAGAATGCTGGGAGACATACTTAGAGGTGAAATTTAAATATCTTAACCTAAGTGTCATGGTTCATTTCCCTTAATTTTTAACTTCCAATGAATCATAGTACCTTTTGAAAATCCTTTTCATTTCCACAAACTCCTTCAGAAAGATAAAATTAATGAAGCCTCTTTTTTAGTATTCTAATTCTAAAATTAAAGTAAAAATGAGTCTTTTTAAAATACACATTTATTTTGTCTCTATTTCAAAGAAAGAGTTTTAAAGGGCTAAATATATGTGACATTATAGCTATATGAATATTTGAATTGGTGTAATGTTTGTCTCAATATCTTGAGATACAATAGTAACAATAATAAGAATCTTCCATAAAATAACTACTATTTACCTTGCAATATCACGACAAGGCATTTTCCAGACACTGCATGTAGATTGTCTCAACAGATCCGTGATACATTTGACAATCTTCACTTTTCATATAAAGATCTGAAGGGAGAAAATTCTCCAAATTAGTCAGCTGCCCAGTGGAGACTGCAGTGATTTGAGTACAAAGCTTACATTATTACAATTGCACTACATGTTTTTAAAGACCTTAATTGAAAACACTCCTCTTTTATATGGTTCAGCCTCTGAACTGAAAAGTAGTTATTCTTTTACTAAAGGTTTTGTGAACCTGAATAAAATATAGATGAAATATCAATTAATAATTAATACAAATGCACAGGGAAGAGAGGTGGTTACTTCCTGTACCTGTGTGCTGCCAGTGTAATATAATACTACTTGGCCCTTTGTATCTTGCGCCTTTATGGAGGAGAAAACATTCCTTTATTACTGGAAGCCATTACTGGAGAGTGTGTGATGTAATGTGTAAATAATAGCAAAACCATC